ACCAGGGTCACTTTAATGGGCAGTGATTTTGTTAGAAATGGTTATGGTTAAGTCCTGGGACTCATCTCGCTTTCCTATCAGGTTGGAGTTTACCCGCATGTTAACGGAATTTAGACTGACAAGAACAAACACAAACCGGTCGTTTCGATACAAACTCAAGCAGTGAAATTGCACAAAAATTTTGACCACTTCAAGTAGCGCAACTCTCGAAGAGGAGAAACATTTAGGGTCAACATTCGTCGTTCTTTAAGCCAAGTTCGAGAAACTTTCTACACTTCGACTGAATAACGAAACGACTTTGTATCCAAACGACCAGTAACCTAACAGATAAAGCAACACTAATGAAGCTGAAAAAACTGAAAAAATTTTTTTCTAACCTGTCGTCTATAACGTCAAAGGTACGAATCCCGCTCTCAAAATTCGAAAAGCTTTTCTTCCATAAGTCTCTCTCCTGTAACGTGGGTTCTGCGCCGCTGTCTATTAAGGTAGCGGCCTTGTTCATATAGAGCACGCCCAGTTCGTTCTTCACATTTCCAAGCCGCTTGGTGATGTTCACCACAAGAGGAAGTTTGGTCGACGTGGTGCAAAGTTGAAGTGCTGCGTCATATAGGCTAACACTAAAGTGTCAAGAGAAAATAGACAACGAACGGATTACGGACAAACCAGAACACTTTGTGGTATCACAACTGCAATTGCTTGCCTTTTGTACGGAAAACCGGGTATTTCCGGTGAGAATTTTAATAGAAAGGTTCATGCCGGTGGAGATTTTTCGCAAAAAAGGCAATTCCTTCAAAGATATTACTTTTTTCCCGCTTTTCCCTAAAGACCCAAATTTTCGGTCATATTTTAATTTGCCGGTATTTTGTAAATGGTGTAGCCTAATCTTATTCCTGTTTTCGGTGTGAAATAAAAAACCAGATAGAAATTTTCCAAACGGTAAGCGCTCTGGATCTTGCAGAAGAGGCTCCGAAACGTTTTAAAAGCTCAGTTTCTAGAAGAAAACTATGGGTTAAACTTAAACATCTTTCGTGGAACCGACCCTGGGTCATTTTCCTGCTAGAATTCGTGAGTATAGCAATTTCATATGGAGACCACAAAACCCTCAAAAAATGCGTCTTCAGTGCTTTTTTTCATCAGTCAGAGCCAACATGAAACTGTAACATTACGAATGCGACTGCGAGCAGTGTCAGTGGATATATATGTTGGCATCTTTAAGACTGCTGTATGGTTACCTCTGTTGCATGTTTTGCTCCAAATCACACACGAATTTAACGCTTGAAGAATGTCCTTGTTCGCTTGAAATGCAATCTGCTGCCGCTTCACATATAAACGTGTCTTCGTCAGACCTGAAGTGGAAATCCTCTTGATGAACAGCTAGATTTTCCTGACAAGTCGCTAGCATCAGGTACGAATCTCCGCACACGTACAAGATTTCGATCATCAACTGATCATCTACAGAGAATACGAGAAAAGAAATAACGTTGGATCGGTCTCTCCATCTCTCGGGGATGCAAAAGGTGTTACCAGGCGAGTCTATTCGTAAGCCCCTACACCTCTAATTTCGTCAACAACCATAACGGGTCCCATTATGTTATGGCTGTTGATTTCGTTCAACACCAATTTCAGGGCAAACCTGTCCTCACAACATGTTCTCGAAGTTGAACTTTATAAGGGATAAAATGCTATGCAACCGCAACTCTGTGACGAAAGTTGGGACTAATATTATGTTTCAGTTTTATTTCCGGGTTTGCTTACATTTTTTCCCCTTTATCCTCGAAAAGCCCTTTACAGAGAGATGATAACTAGGAGTGCTTACCATTTGAAAGAAAATTAGCAGTAATTATTTACCTTCTTTTATGTCAGATTCCGCAATAAAGGCACGGGAAGCTTCGAGGCACTTGAATGCAAGTCTACAATTCTTCAAACCTCTGCCGAATTTTCCATTTGAATTAAACATACACGCTAATGAATGGTACACAGCTCCCGCCTTACGGAACAACAAACCAGCAGTCTTGTCTTGCCAACGAGCCTGCCGTTTTAGCACCAGCGGTGTCCTTTTTGCTTTGCAAGGTTGTAGCTGATTCTTCAATGAAGGCATCACTGCATGAGGTGGACTGGGACTAGATTTTGCATCAACGTTTTTGAAAGATGGAGACTGGTGTGAAGAGGAAATGCCTTCACCCGAAGAGCTGCTTTCTGTGCTTATGTCAAGGTCGTCTTCTCTAGGGTCAACGTCTGGTACTAAATGCTTCTTAACACATGCAAGGCCCTGGAATGAAAAAGATCATCATACCTGAGATTTCTATTCTTCAGATAACTGCAAACTTCATTGAAACGTGTACTTGCCTTTACGATATACGACAAAGCCACCTTACACCTTTCCTCGACGTTGCATGGCAACGGCTTCGAAACCTGAGTGAAGAGACAGAAAAGACCAAAGGGTCAGGGTCAAGGCAAGACATCAGTGACTCGCCCCGAGCTATAAAATGCCTGCAAACAGACTATGCCACAGAAAAATACTTCAAGATTAAGAAAGACTGAGTGGGACGATGTTCTGTCAGATTACCCTATGGAAATGTTTTTGGGTCGCTGTCGCTTCTATAATAAACAACTTACGCCACCATGACGGTGACGTCAGCAAAAACGTTACTTACAAATTGAGTTCACGCGGTTGCTACGTTTGAAAAAACGCGACTTCATTTTTTTTAGCCGTTTTCGCTGCCTTCGCAGCTGTCGTTGCAACCCAATGAATCGCTGCGGAATACCTTAACTATGAGCCAACTAATAGTGCTTCTATCTAACCTTAATCCAGTCATCTTGTTGGGTCACAGGCGTAGATAGCTTTGTTACATCCACAGACTGAAAAGGAAATAAAGGAAATCACATATCAAAGTTAAAAGATTTTGGGTTTTTTGGCAAATTTAAATGTTACCTGTTGATCATCACGTTACTAGGATTGAAAGAAAGCAAATCAACCTAGTCCTAGGGGCTTTTCCATAAAAAAATGAAAAGGGCCACTTTTCCATTTTCCAAAAGGAAAAGCCCGGGGAGCAAGTCTTGAAAGCAACTAATCTTTAACCTTAACCTTTATTCAACTTCAATTAGTCTGGCTTGCAAATAGTGCAGAGCTAATCGCGGCAAGCCAGACTGTACAGTGTACAGAGATAACTTTCTTACATAGATATGCATTTTATCATACACAAAATATACATTGACATAAAACTTTGTGCAACATATGTACGCTAGACTTCATATTATTAAGTATTAAGAAACAAACAGACGAAAACAAGAACAAAAACAAAGCAAAATGCAATATGCGAAGAGAAAAGCTACCAAGTAAACTTAAGTTAACTTTGTCACTATATTAATTAACACACGAGTCTCAACATGAGCAACTAGTACCTTCGAAGCAACGGCAGTGTCATCTTCCTCATCTTCGCCAAAAGAAATATCTAAAAAGTCGGCCTCGTAACTTTCTTCATCTTCTGTTGCCTGTTCTTGTTCAGTTGTGTTGATGGCAGGCAAAGCGTGTACATCATCGGGCGAAAAAAGGTCTGATAACAAGTAGCTTGCTGATGCGAAAATCTGAAAGCGAGTGGACTAATGAAATTAATTTTTGGCCTCTATTAGCGTCGATTCAATGGAAATAGTCACAAATTTGAGACGATTTTTAAGAACGGTTTCAGGTAAAAGGTGAGTGTACACATTGTGAGTGTACATTGTTCTGTAGATTTTAAAAACTAAAAACCTATTTCAAATTTTAGGCTAAACAGGTTCTTTAGTAATGGACTTCTTACTTGCGGGTTTCTACACTTTATCATGAAATCATGGTAAAAGAAAGTCTTACCTCGGGAAATCTTTCACTGTCTAAAAGCAGTAGGCAGTTACTAAGTAATTGGCGGACTGTCCCTTGTTCTCTGAAAAGAGGAAAAGCATCATATTTTTAGCTTGAGAAAACAGCCTACATTTCACGACGTCACCTCTGATTTCCCCGCCTAAATTCCGCTGAGTGAATTTAGGCACGCACACCAAATCCACTCTCATTTTACCAGACAACGTGATCAGTTAAGGCTGCCTTTAGCTAAAACCACCAAATACCAGGGTAGTTTAAGGATCAAATGGTGCACATGCCTATAATTTCCGTCCCCTCTAATAATAAGATTTGCAACGGACTTAAATACGTCTTAGTCCTTGGCGAAGCGGCTTTTTAAGCGCCAGGCTATCTCTTGAATCTTTTTAATCGCTTTGTTTTGTTTTGTTTTACTTTTTTCTTTTCAGGAATCTGTTTAAATTAGCTTCATGCTAAACCAGATGTTCCTGTATAAATAAATAAATAATAAATAAATAAATAAATAAATGACGTCTTATAAACGAGCGCAGAAATCTCATACTGATGACGCGACACCACGCAGATCTGGGTATTGCTTCTGATTGGATGAAGCAAATTTTCAACCAATCAGCATCACTATCCAGATCATCCGGTGTGACGCGTCATCAGTATGGAATTTCTGCGCTCCCTTCTCACACGTCATTTCGTGGGGAAACCAGTGGTAGCGTCGCGGAATGTCGGCTGTTTTCTCAGGCTGCATATTTTTAAAATGAGTTCCTGATGATCCATTTTCAGAAATAAAGAACTCACCCTGCGCTAAGTGGCAACTGATTCATCATGTTCTTGGCAACTCTGGTGAGGGATAAATGAAACAAATAAATCAGTTTTTGTTTTACAAAAATAGAGCGATCAGTTTTACGTGTGCCGATTGGTCGAGAGCTATGGTTGATGCTGTTCAAAGTAAGGCAAAAAAAAAAAAGAAGAAACTGAGACAAAAACGGTTCTAGGAGTAGGCGTGGCAGGTATCAAACAAAGATCACAGGTCACAGGTTACAAGTGCACGTCAATGCTCTACTGATAAATAACTGAGATAAGCAGTTTACCCCTAAGCTCAAACTCTATTTTGGACTGTGATTGCGTCTAGGAGACACTTTAAGCGTTGTTTATTTAATCGTAACACGGTGACCTGTACTCTACCCTGACTTGCGACCTGAAACCTGTCACTTGGGTTTTGTACCTGCCGTTCCAGGCGATATGAAAAATACCTTAACTACAAATAAACTTTGAACATTTGAGCGCTAAGTAACCTGTTCCAGGCTGCGAGATAGTCGAGTCCGCGAAAATGAGAAAGCGCGAACACGAAATTAAAACGGGAGAAAACTAGGGAGAGAATGGGCAACTTCGCTCCTTTTTCCCGCCACTGTCCCCTTTTCCCAGATCACGCCCTCATATTTTCGCGCGCCTTTCACTTAGACGCCATCCCTATTATCTGAGAGCCTGGAACTGGATAAGCGCTAAGAGGAGACAGGTTCCACTTTGCTGTGTATATCAGTTAAGAAGGCTTCAGAATGGACAAGAACAATTACGACCAACACCTCTGAGGCTCGTTGTTTACTTTTTTTCTTACCACATATTGACACTAACTGGGATCTTGAATTGAATTCAATGAATACTGATATAGATAGCGGGTCATACGAACCTGTAGAACAGCATAGCAACTGGAACAGTAAACAAATTCTCTGTGTTGTCGTCTGTTCTCTATCAGTTAAGTAACGCAGAGGAGAAGGTGTTAAGAAAAAAATAATAAAATAAATAACTATTTTCTTTATTTACTTTCGATAGGATTATAGCGCAAAGGCTAAAGGGGCTGAGCAAACAACCAAAAGAACACAACAGAGTTAAGAATCCCTACTGACCGGAGGCAACCCAGTTGGCTATTTACAAAGCGTGACCGAGGAGTTGAACTCAAGACCAGCGAGAGCAAATCCAGCTTGCGGTTAAGCCAGGACTTGAACTTGGCGCCTCCAGTGCTTTAATCGCTCGGCCACGCTGCTTCTCTGATCAATGATAAAGAATCATCATGAATAACATGTACAGTAGAATCCCGGTAACTCGAACTCTGAAGGCAAACGAAAAACATGCAGTTCGAGTTAGCGAGGAATTCGAGTTATCGGTCGGGAGTGGCTTTCAGTGAAATTGTGATCAAGGGAAAGGAAATAAATTTAGTTCGAGTTAGCGCGGAATTCCAGTTACCCGAGTTCGAGTTATCGAGGTTCTACTGTATTCAGGCTTTCTAGAAAGCCATACCTGCTGGCAAATTGAGGTCAGATCATATAACTTGATCACATCGCTCCCCGTTGCTGCAATAAATCGAACACACGATTCTCAGAGAAAACTTCCTAAAGTTAAACTTCCCGTAAGCGATCAATCCAAAATGCGAGGACTTTGTCGTGGTTTACCACAGTTGGACTACAGAGCTCTGTATCGGGAACAAATCTACGCCGAAATAATTCATTGCAGACAATTTCTGAGTTTTAATACGAACAGAGCCATGTTATCAAAAAAAAAACGAGTTGCTGCAAAGCGAGTTGAAAAGCGATGTTGAGTGTTTTACCACAACGTTTTAACCTGTTAACAACCTGATTTGTTCGAAGACAGGTTGATGTGGTTCGTAAAACGCTCAACATTGCTATTCAACTCGCTCTGCAGCAATGTTTCCCCTTTTTCCGTGCAGAAAATCAGACCAACCGTCAAGTGTTTGCTCGCAGGAGGTTTAAAACAATGGATACTGCTAAATTTTCTACACAAAAGTGGTCGCAGTCACTCCTCAGCCAAATGTGGCCATCTACAGGGCATTCCAACGACAATGGTGTTTTGAATAAGGGGTCTCTTATGAGAGGTAGTCACTCATCAAACGTTGTTGGGCATTTAGGTTAAGAAGATGGATAGGTAATACTTAGTATAGGTAATCACATGAGGCCAAGTACTATTAAGGATTAATTGCACGAGAGTTTTCAAAATTTTCCAAAATTGCCCGAGTCGCGAAGCGACGAGGGCAATTTGGAAAATTTTGAAAACTTAAGCGCAATTAATCCTTAATAGTACGAGGTCTCATGGGATTACTTGTTTATCAATAAAGGGCAAAATTTATACGAAGGAAAATCACGCGCGCAGTCTATTTTTATCTGGGAAGCCTGTTTAGCGCTACGGCAAATCATCAATCAAATTGAACTGACCAATCGATTCAATGAAATTTTATTCTCCAAAACTGTGTCGTGATACACTGCCAAAAGTCTAGAAAACAAAGCTCATTTCAACAGAGCGTTTCTGCCAACAGAAAAACAACAAAGTGCTTTTAACTGAACAAAACACAGTTTAATCTGAGTCCGAATCCTGGAGCATGATTCTCTTGTAAGCCCGCTTGCTCTGGCTAAGACTGGATTGCAAAGAATGGTTTCCTGCGACGTTGAGCGTTACATTG